GGAGGTGGACGAGCGCCGACACGCTAACCATGACGTCCTTGGGTACCCAGGTGACCCCCCGCCCCACTCCCTCCGATACAACAGTTTCGCGCGTTTGTTCCGAGCCAGTCCTGACTGGAACGAAAGGCTACCGCCGTACTTGTTGTTGTATGCTTTTTGTCGTTTAGGTGGACACATTTTTCGCTGTTGCGGTATGACATCGGGCCTATTTTGACCACTGTGTTCGTCCTTCAACGCGGAGAGACTCGTCGGTGTTGAGCGCTACAGTACTGTGATTCGTACGTAAGCCGAAGGAAACGAGGACGGTAGGGCGTGTGTTGATACCGTTCGCGGAAAGAAGTTAGGTACCTCGCCCGTCTTGCACAGGTCGGTCTGTGGGATGTCGGTAGCGGCGTTCTCCACTCCCCCTTCTGCCGCACCTCCAATCCCAGCAACATGGCCCTCTAGACTTGTTCTGTATTTCGTCCTTGCCTGTTTTTGTAAGTAACGTCTGGAGTTGAACCGACGCACGACACACCACCGTACCGTGAAAGTCGTGGCCGAGAGGAGGTACTACTTTTGAAGCTCCCTCTAAACCTTGATGCATCATACGTGCCTTGCTCACCGCCCACCGTTCCACCGCAGGGGGGCTCGGGTGGGGGGGCAACATGCGATTCCGCACGGGGCTCAACCTGATCGACCTCACCGCGGAGGTGTCACGACGGCTGGAGCACGTCAAGTTCCCTTTCCTGATCATGCACGACCCAGAAGACAGTGAGTTTTGTTTTCTGGTTTACTTTGCCTCTTTTTTTTTTTGCTTTTTTGTTGCCCCGCAGTTGTTAAAGGCCCCAGCTGCTCTCACCCCGATTCCTAAGGGCCTCATCAGGTAAAGATAAACAAAAACTGCTGCATGTGGATGCGGGGCAAGTTTGGTTCAATTAGCGGAGTAGCGGTCGTATGCCTGTCAAGTCGGGCATGCGCTCGAAAGTCCTGCACTCCCGTGCCGCATCTCCCCAAGCACGAACCTTTTGTCTTTTGTCGTGCAGGCATCGTCAGGTTCGATTCATCCAAGGAGCTAACGTACAGAGCCAGCACGCCTCACGGGTCTCCACGGGGACGGTAAGTGTCCATCCCCCCTCTGGCCACCCTCCGTGCCAGGTTGCACAACAGGTTTGTCGCGGGCGAGATAGTGGGTTTTCCTCGGCAGCACGAGACCGTGCCCAACGAGGCCGAAGTTTCAGTTGACGCCCAGAGCGGCGTCCTTGTATTGGAGTAGGTTTTACCAATATTTAGGTGCTCGCGCAGGAGCTCCGCCGCCGCGGGTGCTATGTAGTTCTTCACTCCTTGGTGCTGGCGAGATCGGTTCGCTGCTCGTGTGGGCGAAGCCAATGCGCGTGCACAAGTACTATAGTTCCATCGCAAAGCTGACGGAGCTGTGCTGTTTGTGCCTTGGTGTTGTTGTCGCCTTTGTCCACATGTGTTGGATGATTCCTTTCCCACTCCACTCTTCGTCATAGGCTGTGCGTTCAGTAGTTAGAACAGGCGCAACACTATTGCAGACATGGTGCAGAATGCGCCCCGGTCGTGCTTATTTTCGGGTGTTTCGAACCCCCTCTTGCCCCAAATATATTGCTCACGTGTCCCCTTGCCTGTGTCTCTCCTCGCGTGCGGGTCGTGGCGGCCACCAACATGCAGTGAGCTTCGTCCGATGAAAGGCTGGTTGCACTGCCTCCTGACGAACTGTCCCGAGATCGCCATCCAGCATCTTCAGGACTGGGTCCTGTACCAGACCCGCTTGTGCGACGGAGGCAGCGGTTCACAGCGGCCGGAAACGCCGAGCACGATGGTGGGGAGGGGGATCAGCAGGAGAGGTTGCGTCACGAAGAGAAGGGGGGCGACCCGAAAGTCGGTGACAGACGTTGGTGGCGTTCCTGAAGCCAAGGCTGCTGGTGCGGCCGCCGCCGCGCCTGAAACCGGCGCTGGTCGCTCTCTGGGCTCCGATGCCGCCGAGGAGCCGCGAGAGGGGCTGGGCGCCTCCGGATCTGTGACTACCGGAGGTGGGGATAAGGCCGGCGGCGGCGGCGGCGGCGGCGGCGGCGGCGGCGGTGCGCGTGGGTATGGAGGCGACCGCTGCAGCGCGACGAAGAACACGCGTGTCCCTGCAAGCGGTAGCGCTGTCTCCACCCCTCCGGCAGGCAGCACCTTGCTGAAGTTCTTCCCGAAGACAGCGGTTGCCGTTGCTGCCGCGGCGGGAACAGAAGTGGCGGCTGTTGTGGGGGGGAACGGCACCGATGTCGGCGCGCTAGGAGCCGTGGACCGCGCGACCCCACCGCGGCAACCGGTGTCACCATCGTCGGTGACGGATCTGATGTGCGTCGAGGTGGACCGAAAGAGTGCCGGGGAAGGCGTGCGAAGCGGCCTCGTCGTTTCAGATGCCGGGGCGAGCATGGGGGACGAGCCGGAGCCTTCTCGCCGCGTCGAGGACGATCTCCACATCGAAAGCCCGTCAAATGTGGCGGGCAGCCTGCGTTGAAGCGGCGGAGGGGGCAACAGTAGCGCGACAAAGCCGGGCATCGCCGAGGGCAACTCTTCCTGAGGCTCTTCCGAAGGGGACTACGAGGCTTCCTTCGCCACCGTCATTACCTCGTCGACTGTAGCGACGACGATGTGGCAGCTTTGTTGTTGTTGTGACACTCACGGGGTGGGGGTTATGCACTCATTCGTGGTGATGTACGTCGAATGAAGCGAGAGTGGTATCTTGCGCAACCAACGATAGTTCACAGTAGCGTCGAACCGCTCCCGGCCAAAACGAGGCACATCTACGCAAGCTCGTGACTTGAAGCAACCTCTCGCAAGCCTGCAGAGCGAGCAAAGGCTATCGCGATAGAAATGCATGCCTCTTTGTTGTCATGCCTCGAACGTCACGGGCACAGCGATGGTTTGCGCCGCCCATACCTGAGGCGGGGTCGGCTGCCTGCCTGCCGGTGGCGCTGATGTGTGGGTGCTGATGTGCGAGTGAGGGACCAGGCGCTACGGGAGGGGTCAGGTGATGTTTTGGTTTCGAGACTGGACTACATTTTCAGGATTTGGGGACGACGGAAATGCGGTCGTGCGGCGTTTGACCCCCCAGCCATAGTATTGTATAGGGTTCTAGGGGTGTACCCCCTGTGCAATAGGATGATTGTGCATGACTAGTCAGCCGCTTTGTGTAGTCTTCAAGATGTACTCCTGAAGGTCCGGGCAGGTAATCAATGTCGCTTGAAGAAGGGGATCGCCTTCCAAGCGCGATTTCGTAACACGACGCTGGGTGGAACGGACAGGGGATTCGACCTTTAGATTGTGGTGTGTGTGAGTGTCTTCCAAGCTAAAGGTAGAAAGAGAGGCCTGAATATGCTAGCCCTGTAAGGAACACGGTGGTGTAGATTGTGATGGTGGTTGTGGTGTGCCAAGCGTGTGTTTTTTTTCCAATTGTTGGAGTGATGGGAGTGTGCAGTGAGACACGCAGACACGGAACGGCAGGGGCAGCTGCATCGGTCGATCGGTAGGGGGTACGTGTCTGTGAGCTGTGGTTGTTGCATTGGAAAGCCTTTGTAAATACTTGACGAAAGGGTTAGAAGTCGCGTTTGCTTGTGGCGGCAAAATGCCGGATAGGTACGCATGTGGCCAGTGAACCAGGGTTGTCTATGTTGTATGTCTTCAAGTCGGTTCTGTTGAGCGCGGTGATTGTTGTATCCATCCATCGTCTCCATTAGGCAAGGCATGACGACAGTGGATGCTGCCCATATCGTTTGCACCTTCTAGAACTTTGTTGGGTTTCTCGCAAATGTTAAGCGCATTTTGTGTCAAGAGCTGTGGCGTGGGTGAAGCCTAAAGGGAGAAGAAAATATACGTCAAGTTTATAGGCGGGATCGTACGCATGTTGAGCCCCGCGTCGCCGAACATCGGACATGTCAATCGAGGTCGTGGGCGCGTAATGGTGTATATTCCTTAACGTATCACTGCAAGGCAGCGTGTTTGAGTTGAGAGGTATACTGTTGAACAAGATCAAGTTGAAAAACGTGTGCAGCATGAGGATGATATATATGGATATATGTAAAGTTCGGAGAGAGAGGGGAAAAATGGGGGGTCGGGGTCGGAGAGATGGAGAGATCCTTCACGTTTTTCTATTGCCAGCCCGGAAGACTTGCACCACAAGAGCATCCATTTTCCTTCAAGATGGTCAGCCTTGAGCAGAGAACAGGACTAACCAGAACGCCGCGGTATGCCGGGCGTGCGCTCACGTGTGCACTGGACGGTGGCAAGTCGAGTGACACCACTTTTTTTGGGCCCACCCGTCTATGTTCACAAGAGTCTTTGCCTGTTCCAACAAGATGGAGGCTGTGCCCATCCCATTCTCACGTTTCTCCCTGGCACGTACCGATCACCCGGTGATTTCATTGGCAACCACCTAGAGGTGGAAAGCGCATCGTTCCAAGTTAAACACCACGATAGGAAGGTACTGCTCAAGTCCTTCTTGTGAACAAACGGAAACAAACACGTCATAGGTGGATACAAGTTCAAGAGAGAGAAAATAATCCAGCTTTTCCCTCCTGTCTGCCTGCAGCGTGTCAGTTGTACGTGTACGTTCCCCCTGGCACCCAGAATTATTCATTCGGGGGAAAGGACATAATACACCTCCCCGGACAACGCCGTCCTACCGCATTCAAAGCGCAAACACTGGCAGCCCGGCTCAAGTTGATCACGACAAGCTCTCCTCAAGGCCGGGCCGTTGGGGGTGCCGCGCCAGGTCCGTGATGAAATTCTCACAGCCTGGAAAGTACATCTCCACGAACGATTCGAAACCGGCACGGTCGACGCCTGATCACAGCACGCACGCCAGCGTCGCCGCCTCCAGCTTCGCCCCACGCCGCGCGCTTTCGCATGCGAAGCACGTCCAAGACCTTCGAAAGCACCGAGGGTCTACAGTCCATCAAACGCCAACCTCGCGCGTCCACGTCTTTCTCGGTGGCCGGTCATTTGTCCTAATCGAACCGAGCGGCCAGGGCAGAATCCGGGCAAGCCTGCAGGGTGGAGCGCAACGTCGTCAGCCTGGTCTCACGGACGCTGAGTTCCACCACGGTGTCTTCTTTGCCCGCTGCAACATCCGGCCCGTAAACTGCCGTCAGGGCGTTGACAGACTCTCCGGCCTTGGTATTCGGCTGTGCTAGCTCCGCGAAAGCTTCGCGTAGAGCGGCACGTTCCTCCATGAGAGACTCTGCGATCAAGGCGCCAGACATGCGGACGTCGTCGTCATAACTCTCGGTGGCGGCGTCAGAAGGACCACCGCTTGTGAGGTCGATGAGGCCGTTTTCCGATGTGGTCGCCGGCTTGGCACGTGGCGGTGGCGGTGGCGATCCTGCCGTGGCCTCACGACACACCCGGAAAACCTCGATTTCCTTGACAGTTTGGCCCCCCAAAGTAAAGAAAGCAGAATCTTCGGAAACATTAAACGCGCCGATGGCGACATGGAGGAATCTGGCGTTGTCATCGTGCAAGGACATGCAAAGGTCTGAGCCGAAGCAGGGCCCGTGTGAAGAAGTGCCCAAGTAGTTTGGGAGGCCACGTCTTGGGATCCACTTCGACGGCTGGAAGCTGCTCGATCCGTCAGCGCTACCGTACTTGACCATGCATATGAATGCATCTGGCGAAAACCGTGAGAAGGGGCAGCTATTACTCCACGAGGATCTTGAGAACCCACCCACGATCGTATCGGTCACCGCGGTTCCGGCGCTCGATAAGACGCGAAACAACGTGATCGTGACGGGACTGTCCTTTCCACAGCACTCGTGAAACGCCTCGCCACCCCAGCCATCGCGGGATGCGCGGTAGATAAGATGCAGCCGGGACGGGTTGCCAGGGCACCAACCCTGGAGGATATCGGTTAGCGGGCAAACCTCAGAAAGGCGCCAGGATCGTGCTGCCTCCAGCTACCGAGATACCCATGGCAGGACATTGTCCCGCCATTCTGAGGGCACCCGAGACATACGGGAGGTAGGCCACCTCGTCCGAAGCCAACCCTGCCCCGAGCAACCGAAAGGGCTATCCAATGCAGCTGCACCAGATTTCTTGAGCAGGGCGCGCAGGAGATGCTTGACGCATATCGGAGACTCGTCCAGCACGATGAGGCCGTTGGCGTCTCGAGGGATACGCTTGTCCCACATGCTCTCGAAAAGGTCACATAGGTTCCAGGTTGGAGAGATTCCATCTCCATCTATGCATGTGTATTACACAGATCGACGGATGGTGAAATTAGAGCCGCCAGCCGCAGCATGCCGTCTCCGCTCGACGGCCTCGAGATACCGACCTCGACCATGCGTGCCTCGAGATCACCCCGATGCTTGTCGATGCCGTCCCATGCGGCATTGAGTTCAGTACGACTCTGCCGTAGGGCTGCCTCCATCTCGCTTACGTTGGCATCGAACGCTCCCGAGAAGGTCCTCTTCTCGTTCAGACGCCACCGACGAGGCATGTTGGTGGCCTCCTTCTGGAGAAAGAGATGGAAACAGAGCGGGGGGCATGGGGAGGGGGGGGGGTGGAAGAAACAGATAACGTCGTGTGAAGAAAAGAAAAAAAAGTACACACGGTGTTGTACCAGAAAGAGTCAACGGAACGTTGTCTCATTTGGGTTCCTACCGTTCGTGATACTCTCCGTCCGCCTTGCAACGGGGCGGATAAATTGGCGCTGAGTTCTTTGAATGACTGAACCAAAAATAGTCCATTCATAGACTGTACCTTCATGAGGGAGATACCCCAATAGTTGTTTGTTGTTTCTCACATTAGCTCTATAGTCCACAAAAAATGGGGAGCCCGTGGTCTCAAAACCCGGCACATACGACGCCGCGAGGAAACAAAATAAGCAAAAATAGGGTACAAACCACTCGGAAAAAGAAAACAAAATGATAGAAAATAACAGGTATCGCACCGACCGTTCGAGAAAAGAGCCCTCGGACACCGATCAAAATAATACAAAAACAAAAATAAAGGAGGACGCTTCCCACACCCGCCCAAAGAAAAAATCAAAGGGTAACGTACCAGCACCAGGCACTACGCACCAGGGCATGGGAGTAACGGAGCAAACAGGGCAAAGAGGCGGCAGATGGGCAGACAGCCAGACGTACAAAAACAAAGGCAACAGCAAAGCGAGATCAAGGTACCAAACACAGCGGAGTAGGCAGGGAGGTCATGAAAAAAATAGAGTAACACGCCGATGATAATTCATCGGTTGACGTTGAGATCGATTTCCGCAAAGATATCGGCATCTTCGCATTGCTCGGATCTATCCAACAAGGGGGCGACAACAAGGACCCACTGCTGTGTGCTCTTGGGCTGCTTCAAATACAGCTAATAGATGACAGGAGATACTACATGCCCTGGACCGATTTCTAAAGCTCGATTACGGGGTACTCCAACTCATGTACACTTGCAGGCAATGTGCAGTCTTGGACGTTCAGTGCTTCCGAAATCTAAAAGAAGCATGTCAAACCGCGCTTGCTGATCAGATGAGGAAGTCGATGCCTTACCAAAGCGCTCAACCCCAGCGTGTAAGCGCTGTCTCTCTACTCTCGATTTTCCAGCTGCTATTTCCAAGAGGACAACCTGAAACCTGAAAACTTACCGCACGCTCTCCGGAGATCCGGCACGATCTCCGTCGGAGATCCTGGATTTCGGCAGAGGCATTTTGCGAGCACAGTCTAAGGTCATGAGGTCGCACCACTCAATGCACCGTCACGCCTGGACAGCTATTCCCCACTGCCTCCTTTTGGTGAGACTCACCTTCTCTCATAGCCAATGACTGCACCGTCTGTCGCACCGCAGATGCTGCTTACAGCTTGGGCTGGGGCGGTTGCAGAAAGAGCGGGGGAATTCAAAATTCAAAATGTCTGCGCGAACCACTCTCAGGTTTCTCGTTTTTGGGCACGCCACGTCCCTCTCTACTGTTGTCGATGTTGAGGGCCGCAGCAACGTCAGTCCACTTGCTGTAGTTAATGTGTTGCAGGGCCTTTTGATGTTGAGCCTACCGAACGTGGTTGATTTTGGTTAATTTTTTGCGGTTGTACCGGGTCGTGCTTAGGTCGTTACAACACTCGTTCCCTGCTGTTGTGCTGTGCGAGGCTCAGCTTTTAGAAAATGCAGTTCATGTTGAATACGCTCGCCAACGATGTATGTTCTGACTTTAGGCGATTACTGCACCGTTGAGAGGAGCTGTTATCCACCCTGCCGAACTATGAACTCCATCACGCTTCAACTGGTAGTAGGAGGAAGGTGTTCCCCTCATGTAGCAGGAGGCCTGGTAACCTCCGGCACATTTTGTAGACTACTGTATCACACTACAAACCAGGCTGCTCGACCCAGTGCATCTCTATGCATGTACAACCGTTGGTGTATGCGGCCTTTTACATCGTCTGCATATGTGGTGGGCTCATATTGGCCGGTCTGCGAATCGGAAATTTCTAACGCTATATCGACACTGCTGCTGTCTCGACATTTTTTTCGTTTTGTGGTCTCGACTCATTTCTTGCCGATCGCCCGCTGCATGGTCGCATGTCCCCCTTTTATCCACACGGCCGTGACCCTTGCCTCTGAATCGCCTCGATCGGGCATCACACACAAGAAACGCTCCGTTCGGAATAGCCTTGCCTTGTAGAAACGAGAAGATGTTGCCCAATTCAATTCGCTTTGCTGTGGCTCCTTCACGGTTCCACCACCAGCGCAACTTGCGCCGCCAGAGTTCACTACTAATAGGCCACTATTAGCCCCGGCTCAAAGAAGGCCTGCCAGAGAGCTGCTGAGCTCCCTACTCTATTGAACTGGGTCTTGCGTGCGACTGAATGTGGCATACTTCGCGTTGTCTAGTCTGATTGGCGAAGGAAGATATCAACGCCTCCCGAACGCGATGGTGGTGCTAGTATATGTCTGTTTTAGCCACGTCCAACGCAGCTATAGCGTGCAGGGTACTCGAGATCTACATTCGCATATTTACCACAGGAGAGGGCTCACGAACTCCAACAACCGGCGTGTCGGCCTTTGACGAACAGGGCGGCACCTACAGCATTTCAGCTGCGTTAGTCAACATCGACTGAATTTCCTCATCACTCTTGGCAGCTGGGTGGTGCTGCTCAGTGTCGACCGCCACTACTCTGTAGCTGTTCTTTGGGAGACGGGTACGTAAGCCCCATCTAGAGTCGTTGGCGGAGAGAACCCTTCCGGTGGACGGCGGTCAGTGCTCGAGAATATGGACGATGAGATCGCTTCGGAGGCTGGACCGCAGGACAAGGTATGCATATGATAAACAGCATTATTACGGAGGACCGCCATCTTGTACGTAATGCTTTTGCGCGTCCTTTTCGGGTCTAGTTTCGAAGCTCGAGTGCCCCACGATTAGCAAAGCGGCATTATTTTGCACCAGAGAGAACACCACTTGTGCGGACGTCTTTCCTTCGGCTGGCTTTTATTCCGTACAGCCCATCACAGAATCAGCGCGGAACGAAGCATTCAACGGATGAGGTAGTTCGTCGTCGTTGACCAACATCTCTCGCGTGTAGTCACCTCTTTGCTCGATTAGGTTGGCGAGAGGAAAGGAGCAAACACGAATAATATCGTGACCACACTAGCCTCCCGGGGATACTGTGGCGGTGTGGGCTGATGTCGCATTTGACGAGAAGAGTTCCTCGAGCCCTTTGTGATGACCGGAGTGAAACGCTTGCTTTTTTCCGTACGGGCGTTTTCCAGGACACCCTCTTTGACCTGGAGAACGGAGGGACGGAACCGCTAGATGATTCGGATCTTAACGAGGACGTGGCGAAGCTGAGGTAACGGACGTGCAGGCGACTGCGTTTTTGATTGTTCGGGAGGCCGTGGGGGGAGAGCGGCGACTCTATTTGGCGCGGGAGGCCGTTTCTCTCCTGTCGCAAGCTTGGTTCTACTTCTGTGTACATTTTTCGATCTATAGCAAGCTTGGTGCTGATGCTGCGTACGATACTGTATGCGCAGCCTTCGGCAATTACAGCAAGCTTGGTTGTGCTACTGCTGAGCACGTTGCTTTCGCGAATCCTTCCGCACAAGAAGTCTCTTTGCTTAGCACTTCTTTCCGTTTGTTGTCCGCGCCGTATCCGCACCCTACATGCCTCGAGAACCCGCGGGTGCGACGAAACACCGTTTCAGAAACAGCCAAGCATGGTAGCGGGACGTGCGGCACAGAGGTGTTGGACAGTGTTAGAGCTCATGCGTTGGCGCGCGGTGATTTGGCAAGCGTGCGGCAGCGGCGGTGGCGGCCGGACTTTGTGTGGTCGGTCTAGGCTTGCTACCAACCGGGAACAAAATACCCCCGTGGGTGATGCTGAACTTTGAACAGACCATTGTCAAAAGCATTTTTCAGGGTGACTCCAACCTTCAGGAGGACGCCGCGAAAGAAATATGTTTCCGCTCTTGCGTGGTCTCCTGGTTTGTTCCACACCACACGCCAGCGCATGCTGTTTTGGCATTTATTATTATAGTCACAAGCCGCAAACAATGCCTGTGACAAATCGAGCCAACACACATGCATGGGTTATGATACTCGCGACACCAGCGACACGTTAGCGTGTGGAATTCTCTGCCTCTCTCGGTGGCCGGACTCTAAAGGCCATTTTTTGCATTTGGGTTGAGCAGGACGTTGTGGAGAAATGAGGTATGCGCGCCGGAGCTGCTAAAGGTGGACGAGCATCTGGTGTCCGACCTTATCCAGCAGGTCGAGAACCAGCAAGAGATCGTGGATGACGCCAGGTGAGAGAGCTGTCGAATGTTCAGCGCTTTCGGGTGCGGGTTTCCGTAGGTTACCTCCCCCCCTGGGACCAATCTCGGCGTATTTTGACGCACTGATACAGCAGAGTCGTATTTTTTCGGTACAGGCGCGCGAGGGAGCCAGCCAGATTTCCCTCCCTGACTTGGTTTTGTCTTCACTCTCACTATTTAGCGGCTTCACGTTGCTACCATGTCCCCAAGTAGAGGAGGTTGGGAGCCTCGACCGAATCAATTATTTGCCCTGGGTGCAAGGCAGTCATCCACGTATGCCTGCGGTCCTCGTCCTTTGAGAGCCTTCTCGCCTTCCACGAGCATACCTTGGTTCCAAGCTGATAGCGTATATCGTGAATGTCAACAATGTCTCAGTTAGACACCGTCCGGTGCGGCTGCGAAATTCTAGCGGCTGTTAACACTTTGTGTTGCTGTTTTTTCTGCAGCCAGGCGATACATGTAGCTGTATTCGCCCTTCGGAAACAACATCGGGAGTTTCTCTTACGTACTTGCCGTTGAGGTGCCCAGAGTCGTATGACTTTTTGACATTTCACCAAAAAAACAGTTTGTCGCAGCAAGACTCCGTGCGATGCCTCGTGTTGCTTTTGGCGAGCCGCCGCGTACCCTTTTTGATTCTAGTCTCTTCCAGATTGTTCGCCCATGGTTTCAAGGCATCTTTGAAACCGTTAGGAGATCGAGTGATGCCTGTTTGGTTATCGTGAAGAATTCGATTGTCGGCCCAGGGGAACGGATATCTATCTACCTCGCGGCAGTTGAGAGAAGACATGGCAGTGGGAACTCTCTTCAGTACAACCCCAGCTGTCTCCCCCAAAGGAAACGGAAGTTCAACGCTGGGATTTTTCGTACACAGCCGTATTTCTGGTTATGAAACGTCCAACAGGGCTTCTCCCGAGGAGGCGTTTTCTGCTTCGCTGTACCAGATGGAGCTGGACCGCCTCCGCTACTCCCTGTCCAAGTACCTCAGGACACGCCTCCGCAAGGTGGAGAGGGACGCTTTGCACGTGCTGGCCACCGCGGATGGGGAAATGCAGGGCCGCTTGTCAGACAGGTAGATCTCGATTCCGGTTTGTGAGTGTGAGAGGTGTTTTCTGGAATGCCCGTTGGAAGATTTTGATTTTCTGGAAAGCCTGCTTGCAGGGTTGGAGATCCTGCTTCGGATATATATATATATGTTTTTTTTTTGTTGTATGATTTCGTAGTTCTCTTTTGTCGTGGTCGTTGTGGTCTCGTGGCGGCGATGGTGGCTGGGAAAGAGGGAGGCACGACGTTGGGCATAACAGCGGTACTTACGATACATTTTAGTCACGGTATTTCTCGCTTACACTCAAATGTCTCTGTGCAGGTCCCACTTCACAGCGGGACACCAACCCAAGGTCGCAGGCCTCCGCGTTACTCCTTTTGTGTGATTCAGGTTTTCGCACCTACCGGTCCCAACGCCCAAGGTCCTGTCGTTGAAGCGAAATTCTTAGGGGTCGAGAGCCCGCTCAAGTGTGAGCATGACACATGCATTACGTGGGGGCATTCCGTAGTAATTGTTCGGGAAGCTATCCGCTTTTGTCCTGGCAGATGTTTTGGAACTCGATGCTTCTCCGTGCCAATGATGATCCTGCCCTTCGAATTCCTTTCCTGTTGACCCTTTCTCAGGGAGCGAGAACACGCCAAGGGATACGTGGACATGTTGGAGGACCACTTCACCCGGACTTGCCTCAGCCAGGTAAAGCCCTCAGCTGCAGACAAAGTGTCGTGCTTCCCTCACCCCGTAGGTAGCCCCGGCGTATGGTTTGTCCGCTAACTACTGTAGGATGCTTTCGTCGTTTCGAACGACCTAGGACTTTTCCAACTACTGCTGTGTTCCATGCACACCCGTCAGAGCAGAAAGAACGCAAACGGGAGACCCCTACCATTCAACAGGCCGACATCATGTCTTGATTTTGACACCATTTGTTCGTGCCGACCCTTCCCGTCTTGTTGTTGATGATCCGACCAGATGCCTTCCAACTTCCGGTCCTTGACGAACACAAGCCAGGAGGAGAATATGGTGCAGGAGCCTAACTTAGACACCTTCGTGGTTTGTCGCGCGAGGGATGATGTGGGGTTGGTGCAGATCGGGGAGGTGCGCATGAACGGCGATTGTGCCGCTCCCTAGAGCATTTCAGTGTTTTTGTATTTTTTTCCGACATTGGAGTCGCCTCCATAGGTTGACGGTCTTCATTATTTGGTCGAGAGAAGGTGTCCCATTGACCGATGAGGCAGCCGAGTCGTACTTGGTCTTGGGGCCAAGGTCGCCTGGTTGCGCTTGTCGCAGGGCCATTTCATTTCCTCACAGCCGATGTGTTGCGTGTTGCCGCCAGATATGTGTGGAAAGTGCTGGTACAAGGGAGGTCCAAACTATTCCCGCGTAGGAAGTATGTTGTGCTATATATGCCAGGTGAGCTGCTATGCAATGGCACGACCCGGCCGATTTGTTTGCCGGATGATGGCGTGAGTATTTGGTATTTGCCAATTTTTTCGTGTGATTCCTGACGAGCAGCGGCGTGCTTTACGCTTGTGTTTGCAAGACAAGTTCGGACTAACACCTAGCTTCAGAACTTCGGTCATGGTATATACAACACCGAACACCTGCAGAGAGCACCACACTACAAGTGCGTGTTCATTCTTCGTATGCATGCCACACATCGTGTACGAAGCTTCCTTGGCCAGACCGACACTGAAGCTAAAATGTCCCTCGGCGCGCTGTACCCTCTTGCGCCCGTTTTTTTTCGCGGAGGAATATAGGCGGCCGGACGGGAAGAAAGCTCAATGGATCTCCGGCAGGGCGACATGTTCATCGTGCGATATCGTCCGATCAGGACACTGGTGCTCGAGGGCCGCGTTGACTTGATATGAGAGTGATGTAATGTTGGCATCGAAGATCCCGGGACTACCACAAACGCTTGTCCGTAAGCGGAAGGTGGATCATGTCGCTGATCGATTGAGAGGGCTTGATGGCCACGCTGTCTCGATTTTAGGAACCAGGGTTTGCGTACCTTCATCTTAATAGCAGGGAAAAGTTTAACTTGGTCCAACAGCGGGAGACGGTCCATGTTGCCTGGTACGGATATACATGCAGGCGGGCTTGACGTTCGATGGACAGGGAACAATCCTCGTACTCATTGATCAGGTGGAGTTATTGACTTTATCCACCGGTAGGGCCTCAACGTGACCACTGCAGATTGTTGCAGTGCTTTCCGTGGCATAGGGTAGTCGCATGCATTGGTAGGTATGGGCCGAGGATGGTTGTGACTTGATCAATGTACGAGCGATACGGAAGTTACGGGGCTGAACGGACTTCGAACGGATTTACCGCAAGACGACCCTTTGAGAACGCCCTGGGGCGCGCATGAACAGGTAGGTTTGCTTGAACCGAGCACCCTGGAGTGCACCCAAAGGTAGGTGTGCGCAACAATCAAACGGTTGGGGTGAAGTCGCCGGGGTGTTGGTCTCTTTCCTTTTGTTATGCCGTTGCAACCCTCCTCCGTGTCGGGCCTAAACATATCCTAGGACACGGCATGTGAACGTTTCGTTTCCTCGGGCGACTGAAGTATTTGTTCTGTCCATGTTTGCGTGATCACAGCTTTTTTGTCCGCGTTCCCGTGTCGACTTCGAAGACTTGTAGATATTACTTGTTTTTTTCAACACCCCCCCACCTCCCCCCCCTGTGTTTACCATCGGGGTTGGGTTTTCGTCGCTTGGCAACGACGTTGTAAAACAAGCC